GATCTACAAGTCATCGAAAAAGTCCTCATGACAATGCTATCTCTAAGGTGTCATCGAGACCTAATTACGCCTCGAATATAAAAGCACCCAATGCTGGCTCGGTCGACAACTAGCTGACGGAGTTGGCTTGCAGGTGTGTCTGGACTTGAATGTGCAAGAAGACGTGAATGTATGGAGGTAGGAGGTGCAGACTCAGGTCAGTTTGAGAATTGGACATTTGCCGGGGAAAACATCTGTTGTACCAATACTTGAGGGCCATTATTTAGTGCATTTAGTAAGTAGCCTTATCAGTAGTCTACAATGCGACATTCATGCCAGTCGAGGGGAAGAATTAGTCCTAACTCTTATCGTCCAATCGGTATGACAAATTATGCTTGGTTAACACTGAGCCCAATAGCTTCTGGTAGGTCTGGCTGTCCGTGAAAAAGGCGAACGTAAAAGCAGAGCGCTAGCAGAAGTGGCGATCCCACGTGAAATGTGAGAGCTGAAGGCGAGGCAATGACAGATGTTTGCTGGTAGACCTATTCGATGCTGACGGGGTGGGGTTGGGCGGTGGAGATGTGTGTTTAAGCGGAGTGAAATACCTTCGACTTGAGCGAACTCAGCTAAATTAGGCAGACGAGAGAGCCACATAGACAGAGGATAGATGGTGGTTTGTGCTGATGAGCAAAGGAGCAATCGGTCGTAGACATTGCACATTTGCATGAACAAACGATGGGCTGAATGGCCGAGTGATGCAGGCATGCATGCAGGGATTAGCCGAGCACAAGTGGATATGTGAATGGAGGTGTGGAGGGGGGTGGACGGACGGAGAGCGGAAGGGAGAAAGGTGTGGAGGATTGGGAAGATGCGTACCGGAGGAAGGCAGGGAGGCGTGGACGGAGGGAGTGATGATGAATAGAGCAAAAAGGCGGGCCAACAATTGGACGAGAATAGCAGATAGGAGATAGCAGATAGCAGATAGCGGTAGCAGACCTGCGGTGGAGAGAAAGTGAGCCCGAGTGATAATTGCCTCGTCTGTTGTGGATGGAGTCTGAAGGCAGCAAGATTGTCCAATGCGTCAATGTAGTTAATGAGGCGAACTGCATTACCATGCAATAGCAATTTATCTTAACTCTTGTCTTCTCTCACTTCTCAGCCAGTTTTCCCACGCCAGGCCCTAGAAGACGACCCCCTCCTGCTGCCACCAGCCCCTTCATATCTGCAGCCACTGCTGTTTCTGGCGCCTAATTCTTTAACGATATCAGCGACTACGCCTGTTCAAACTATCATTTATGCCTTCTCAAAGGTACCAGACATGCAAACACGCAGACAAATGTCCCCTGACAGCCGGTAAAACAGAAGATTAAACATTCGGCAAGGCTTTTCGGCTTGATTGCATCCATAAGCAGTTAAAGTGGCCTGATGATAATTTTTATTACAGCCAAAAAGGCACTTTAATCAATTTTCACGCAATATCCTCCTACTCATGAGTAATGCTCCATTCAGTGAATTGATAATATCCGTTGATCTCCTCACCTTCCGAAGGTATAAATACCTTGTGCTACATTTTCATAACTTCATGGTGGGCATCAGAAACACCAAATCATTGTAGTCCTTAATCAAAAAATCAGATTGCCTGATGCTTTTCCAGTGAGCAAGGGCAAAATTTCATATTATCATACACTGGGACGCATTAGCAGAATTAATCGCCCACTGGAATTCATCTCGAAAGCTAGCCCTATGTTATATCACTCTTGTCTCTTTGATGAGTTCGTATCTACATAGTCTCGCTGAACACAAGACCAAGTTGCGACAACGAGGTCAACCCACTTTTATTAATCTTGCCGATAAAGAGTGAATAGAAGGTC